GGAATGCCACAGAATAATGTCAGCTTCACTAAATCTGTCTCTACTCACTTTTAACTTCAGTTTCTCATCATGCAGCTTACTACTACAAGCTCCCTCAGCTGTTTTAGATATTGAAATACTCACCAGGACAGGTTGGACTGCGGGTTAACCTGGATGCAGTTGAGAACCTCTCTCAATGAATCAAACTTTTTACTTTTGCCTTTCAAACATGCAGGTTGTCCTTGTCTTCTTAAAGGAATAGTTCAACATTTTGGGGATTACACTTTCTTGCAGAGAGTTAGATGATGAGATTGACACCACTTCTCATGCCTGCACTCCAAATATGATTTCCCCAGCTAACAGCCAGTTAGTTTAAAGACTGGCCTACTTAAAGCTAACTGATTAACATGAGCTACTGTGTACTGCAGTATCCTAGAACAAGGCATTTTAGAAGAGTGCTTAGAGTTTTGGACACTCTGGATGCTGCAGACAGGCTGTATGCTATGCTTGATCTTGTTTGGAATATAACACACTTCACTTGCTCCATATGCTTTCATCTGCAAACTTGGTAAACTGCACTAACCAGCTGGCTTTCATTGCTGCCGAACAAGGTGTTTTGGGCTAACGCCCGAGGCTTTAAAAAACAAAGAACTCAAGAGTCAAAGTTTATTTATCCTTATATATACCTTTGTGCTTATGATTGTACGCATTACATGCACTTTTGCCAGGTAACATAACTGTTACAATGCTATCAATAAACACCTTTCTATAATTCAGAACTGAGGCTCATGCCAGAGAGTGCCAGTCACTGTGTAAATATTAGTCAAGGCTTTATGCTCCATGCCGCCTGTCCTGCAACTTCACCATGTTTCTCACCACCCTGCAGGGTCTATCTACAGCTGCACGGCAGCTCAACCTTCAACTGTCCTTCCACCAATAACCACCGGGCATTCCTCTCCTCCCTCATTTATTTCCTCCTCCAGTCCCTCACCATGGTGACTCATAAGTCTTGGCATTACCTATCCAACCCCCTTCACTGACCCCTCTTTCATACATCTTCAACCTTCTTATTTTCCTGCCAGTGGCTCTTGGCCTTCTTATCGTCATGGAAACATGCTGAAATACAACACATTCCCATCTTTTTTCAGCCAAAAGGGATGCCAGCACAAGAGAAGGGAATTTACGACTGTCGGGTATGGAGTTGAAAAGCATTGAGGGACTGATTTGATCATCCTAAAAAAGAACGTGGCAGTTATTGTTATGATCTGGAGTTTTATCTTATGTGTTGTGAAAATAATGTGTGCCAAAGGGAAATTTCTGCTTTGTTTTGTGAAATGTGCATGACTGTGGTGAAATCATATACTATCAGCAGGTTTTGAATCATGTGGGATGTTGGTGTAGATGCATATGAACAGGCACAGATCTTTCTAATCATGCTGGGAAGTTGATTACATTTGACTAATTTCACCATTTTTGAAACAATTATGAAATACTTGAATGTCGTATGACTGTCATTAACTCTGGCCAAGCTCCTGTAAATGACCCCTAACAGATAATAATGTTTTCTAGTATGAGTCACTTTTTATCTGAGCCTGTATTTATCACACTGGTAAAAGTGTGGACTTCACAAAAAAATAAAGAACTTAATCAAACTTAACTTTAAATTTAAGTGAGCACCACACTATCTGAGACATGTTTTAGAGTGATTTCTTAAAATATAATTGAAATACTGTATCATTTGATTAGAACATTTGAAAAGAGGTTAGCCCAGTTTTGCATTTAACAGGGATACAAACAACAAAAGCAAAGCATATGCTGATTTAATTTGTGCTCATTTGTTCATACATGTTCATCACTTATCAGCGTGATTCTAAAGTCCCCTGCTGTATGTGTGCCAGCGTTCTTTAAAGACGGATGACCAAGATTCTTTAAGTCTACATTTTAGCTTGAACCACGATGAAGACTTGATTTTTTTTTTTTTAAATAACTGTATAGCTATTTCAATATTATATAATTAGATTGGTGCTAACTCCATGCTCCTGGAAATATTAGGGATTCACATAACATAACACTCAAAACAGTAATTGTATGTTTAATATCACTAGTTTTTAGTATTTAATATCCTAAATTATGAACAATTTGGAGCAGTAGAGCTCCTTTTTTTTGTTCTTCCCTTTGTTGGGTATACACACTGTAAAGCTAAGGGATATGTATGTATTTATGATTGTTTGTGCACGTATGTTTACAAAATGTTTACATATATAATATGACATATTTAGCGTTACAGTGAGAAGGATATCACAGAGGAGCCAAAACCTTCCAGATCTCACAAACTGCCAACCTTATATGTCCAGCCAGTTGTTTGGTTGATTTGATTCTTGACCGGATTTGAAACAGAAATCAAAACAAGCATAAACATACTAATAAGTAATACCTGTATTTGTGATTTTGAGTTTTAGTCATTTACTCTCCAACAGGCCCAGTTGGATACTGCACCTGAGTTTGACTGGAGCTGAGCTGCTGTGAGCAAGAATTTATAGCAGGATTCATGAGTGTACACAGAGATGGACCGGGAACTGTGAGTGCCGTTCACACTATAAACACATCTGAGGACCTGTCACTGTTAACTATGCACAAAGCTGTTACAAGCCATGTCTGGCAGAGTGTGTCACGAGCTACTGTAGTGTGTGTATGTGTGAGCAGGCACTGTGTCAGTGGGTGTATCTCACTCTCACCCCTGTGCTTCACTTGACCATAAAAGACTCACAAGAACAGCCGTGGTGTTAATCATAATATGAAATGTATTACAGTCATAGGCTTTGCAGAGTGTGAACTTGTTGTGACCTTTTTCTAAAATTTATCATGAACATGAGCTGTGCTGGTTTCTCCTAACACAAGCATTATTAGGCAAATTTGTCAGCACTAGCTATACATTGTTTTTTTGTAAGTGTGTGTTTTAACTGTAATGCACAGTGCGTTCTTAGTGACAATAACTTCAGGTTATGTAGCAGCCCTTCCTGCCAGGATATCACCCTAAACTTTGAACAATGCTTTGTTTTAAGACCCCTTTGTGTTGCAGCTGAACCTTTCGCACCATTACGCAGTGAAAGATGACGCTCTCTCTCCGATTTCAGACCTGTTTTAGTCCATCAGAAAGTAGCCTCTAGTAACCTAGCAAGAGGCTGACAAACACTTTCATTCAGTGATAACATCTCATAGACTGACACTTTGTGCTTTTACACTGTTGCTTTATGATTGCATTGGGATTTTAAAAGGTGAAATGTCACACTGATTATAATAAGTCAAATATATCCTATTTATACACTCACCGGCCACTTTCTTTGGCACATTTGTACAATTGTATGCAATTGTCTCTATATTTTTGTCCTCCCCAGCTATGTTCATGAGAGGGTCAAAATGTTAGGAACACCTCTGAATATAATGTAGTGCAATGCAACACCACCTTTAATTATGACCTCAATAATAGACATAATTTAATGTATACATTTATGACAAAAACATTCTGAGCTTCATAAACACAGACGTTAAGGTGGAAGTGTTGTATTGAATTGCATACAGTTGTACAGGAGTACCTAATAAAGTGGCTGGTGAGTGTATATTTAAAATTATGTCAATTTAACTAATTTCTGTTATTTATTCGGTCAGGTCAAAAAATGCTGTAGTTACAAAGCTCACCCTCTGTCAATGTGATGCTGGTCTATACCATTTAAACTAGATTTTTCTCATGTTAAACATTTCTGTCAGCATGTGTAACAAAATATTCCCCCTACCCAAAATGTGATTCCAGTGTAAAACCTAATATTTACCTTTCTCTTTATTGAACTCTAAAGCTGGTTCAATTAAAGAGCTAGAGCTCATTTCCAAGTCAAAGGCCACTAAATGACAGTGAGCAGAACAAAACAGATGAATAGGAATACCAAACAACTATTTAGAAAAAAAAATGAAATAAAATAAAAATGAGACCTAAAACAGGTACAGTTGAACTGCATATTTTATTTTCATACATTTAATAAAAGTTCACTGGAATGTGCTATAAAAGAAAGAAACAAACATTTACAATCGTATGTATTATGTTTTTTCCAAAATGCACAAGTTCTGTGCTACATTTCATTCCTGTTTTTATACTAATTCTACATTCATCTCCTTCTGAATGAGTCCACATAGGTGAATCTTTGACCGGTAATCATAAAAATAAACTCTGTCAAAAATAAAACAGATTCAATCTAGTTTTTACAAAGCACACTAATATTGCAACCCCAACTAGTTCTGTTTCTTTTTGAGAGCAACTTTTCTGAAAATTGGGTCAGTTATCTTGACTCCTACTGTAAGTGGCCGATAATAACTGCTACTGTAGCA